AAATTTCGCCACTTTAGACTACTTTCATTTACAACTGCGGCCAAATTTTAGTACCGCTCAAAGCGAAGACAATGAATATGAAATAGAAAGTGATAAAAGGTACATTACAGTGCAGTGCGGAAAAATGTGAGTGTAACCGTGGTGAAGTTTTCAGGCTACATCCACTTGAAAAGGGATGAAAAGGACTTGCGACGACCAGATCAAACAGCATATACAACCGAGCGGTTTACATTCCGCTAATATATTATATATATATACATGTATAAATTTATATAAATAATTGACGCTTCATAGCCGCTGAAACAACTTACGGCCAAGCTCCTGCCCTAACTTGTGGTGTCTTTCAGTGCTCTCAAAGCAAACTGTATGCTAACATAACCCAGCGATCTACGAACGATCTATAGGCTTATGTGTGGATCTCTGATTCCCTTCCGGATGGAAAGCATTGTATATGTTAATCTGGACAATAAAAAATACCAATTTGTTGTCTGGTTCATTTCCGGCATTAGTGTTTTTAGACAAAAAGACCAAAAATTCAAAAAAAGCGAAGTATAAAAATGTTTGTCTCTGTAAGATCAGTATCTGGTTCACTTACATTATCTATATTAAAAGTTGGCGCTTTTGTAACCGCTGAAACGATTTTTGACCAAGCTCCTCCCTGCTCCAATTTGTGGTTTTGCGTCTTGATGTTTTTCCAACAAATGGAGGGACCTACAGTTTATACTAAGCCGCCTCCGAACGGCTAATGGTTTTTTTATGAGGAGCTTTTGATTTTCATGTCAGCACTTGGCGGGGTTGACATGCCCTGCCGAGTGGCGACCGCATTAGAGAAATGAATTTCGAGTGAATAGATAGATTGATTTCAGGTCCATTTGAAGAAAAGTGTTACATATCTTAATTTAGGCGAAAAGCTACCAGTGTAAATTGAATCACAAATAAAATTTTTTCGAAAAACTCTCTTCCCAGAAAAAGTGTATTATTTTTTTACATAAAATATGTCCAAGCTTTGGATGGTAGGAGTAGGGAAGATGTGATATGTGATACTCCCCAAATGTATTCATAGAGACGTTTGGCTCTTAAAGATGTTCGGGGGTGAATTCCATATTAAAAAATTAGAGTTGGTGCGGTATAACCAGGAGATGGTGCGGCATGGTCATTCAATTTGTTACGAGGGGAATTCATGTGAGCTGCGGCTGTGGCTCTTCAAAAATGGTGGAGCGAGAGCGTGCTCCAGGTGGTTTTATAAGCCAAGTTTACATCACTTATGAGCTAGCGTCTTTCAGCAGTTTCTGATGCTGTTAAGCGTCTAGGAAAGCACCTCGAGTTTAGCAACTAATAGACACTTTAAGTTTATTACTTCACATATGTACATCGAATGGCAGGAAGCAAAAAGCTAATGGCTAAAAGTATGCTGTGGAGACTCGGCTTAGAATGGTGAATGCTTAAACAAAATTAATTTTATTATTGAACAGGTGACAACTCTTAAGTAACAATGAAACTTCGTATTTATACCAATTATGAGTGACTGAAAAAGTTACGATCCTATTGGAGACAGGAGGTCCTGACATTCCCTGCAGAGTGCCAATCGGAAATAATGAAATAATTGTCTATAATTTATGATATTGGTCGGGTCTCAGGCTCATAACTAAGCCCTCCGTATCGTAGTACGCACTGCTAACCATTCACCTAATGTGGCCGCCATACGTTAATTGCTCAGGGTCGCACGATTATCTTGTCTGCTTCTGTCTCGCAATCAAAGAGTTAACACTGCTATTATTTTCAACACAACTATACCATCATTATATATTAATTTACATTATTTATGTATGAATATGCACATAACTGAAGTACTTTGATCGAATAGTCGTTGTCCCTCGGGAAGAGAGATAATCGAAAAACATTTAATGTGGTCACTCGAGTGGTTTAAATTATTAAACAATCATATTGCAAGGCGACTGTCTTAATATACATAAATATGTACTTAGATGCACGTGTTTGTACATACATACAATACATACAATTTAATTTCTTTTTTTTACATATTTTTATTTTTGGACTGCGATATATACATACATACCCATATCATAGCGCTGACGAAATGACTTCTGTGGGATTGTGTATATTCAGACCAAACACTTGCTGGTCAAATAAACAAATATATATATATATATATATATATATATATATATATATATATATATATATATATGTACATATAAATATTATACAGGGTTTACCAATAAGAGGTACTATTTTGATATTCAATGAAAAATTTTATTTTTTGAGATAATTGATCGGATGTCTAATTCAATGTAATGAGGAAGATATGCCATCAATAATAGAAAATAACATCTGCCAAATGGTCCTGCGACTATGCTAACAGGACTGTACCTTTTAAAGAAATTTTCCACCACCAAATCACAAAGTGGCTGCTGTATGCTCTCAATAGCTTCACGGATGCCAACTTTGAGGTCTTCAATCGACGTTGGTCTGTTGGCGTAGACCTTATCTTTCACGTGGACGCAGAGGAAGAAGTCGCAAGGTGTTAAATTTCAGGATCCCGGTGGTCAGTTGCAATCAACTCTTCGAGATAACGCGGTCCGGAAACTTTACTCCAAGAGATTGTTGGTTTCGTTGATTGTATGGCATGTTTTGTTGATAGCCGGATTGGATTGGATTGGATTTTTGTGAAGAGCTTTTTTAATCAGCTCGTAACTGTTGCTCCAGTCACATTTTCGAAGAAGTAAAGTCCATTGAGCCCGCCGAACCATAAACCGCACAAAAGAGGAAAACGTTGAGTATGAAGAGACTTTTCGACAATAAATCTTGGGGTTTCCGAACCCCAGTTGCAATAGGTTTGCTTATTGTCGTAGTTATCGAAAAGGAAATTGGCCTCAACAGTCATGTGGTCTTTCGTTGAAACTACGCATTAATTGCATGCATTTTAAAGACCCAAACAGCAGACACGTCTATGTTGATGATCGGTCTGCTTAAGTTCTTGCATTACATGAACTTTTTTAAGCCTTAAGACCCAAGTCTATAGGCGAAATATTGTGTAATGTCGTTTGTGGAATGCCCAATTCCAAAGAACGACGCGGAGTGACCCAACCTGGGGTTTCTTCACATCACTAAATATATATATATATTGTATATATACATATGTATATATATCCATCGGCCGTTCGGATCCGGCTTGGAATNATATATGTATATTTGGAGCTTGGTAACCGCTAAAGAGATTTTCGGAAGGACCTACAGTTTATTCCAAGCCGGATCCGAACGGCCGATGGATTTTTGTGAAGAGCCTTTTTTATTACTTGTCTGAAAACCCTCAGAAGAGGGCTTGACATTCGCCGCCGAGTAGCGACCGCAATTAAAAATATTAATTTTCTATAATTTTGTTTGTTAGTCGACTCGAAGGACTCGATCCTTGGCCTTTAGAATGGCAGTACACAATGCTAATCACTTGGCTATTGCGGCTGATTTTATACATAATATGAACTTCTACTAGAAATATATGACTTACATATGCACATTTATACATTTATGCATAGTTAAAAGACGTATGGACTTGTATTTTAGTCAAATTGTCGTTTGGTCACTGTTTTTCGATTTTGGATCGCATTTTTTTCTCAATTCCTTTTACCACAAAATTAAATAGAGAAACCAGCGCCTTTCAGTTCTTCATATTTTAAGGGGTGGACTGCACTTAATATACATATGTATGTATATATATATTTGTATACACGTATATGCATATATATATGTGGATATTCGGTTGGTATTTGCCTGAGCCACGTGCGAGCGCATTTAATATAATAGAAAATATTAAAAATATGTTTTGGACATAGGCAAAATCGGCTGAAACGCTTGCCTGCTTTATGTACATATGTATGTACATACTTACAATGCAAAACAATAACAATGCATTGCAGCAGGTTAACATGCCTGAGCTGCCGTCCATTGTCTGAGATTAGCATTAAGTACTAAAAATCTTATACACTCTGACTCTTCCAGTAGTTGGGCAAGTCAGCAACAAAATCTTATTTTCTTTTTTTTTATTTTTTTTGTTTCTATGCAATATTGACTTATCGCTGGTATAAGGGCCATAATTGAAATTTCGAAAGAGACACACAACAACCCCGAGCCACTTCCATGCGGATCAGCGTTAATTTGGCATGAGTTAGTTGTACATATATACATACATATATACATACATATATACATACATATATACATACACATATGTGCTTATGAACCTAAGTGTGGAAATTAAGGTGTAGATGATACAACTCCAAAATTCACATAAACTTTTTATAGATAAACGCAAGAGTAATAATGGCCTAGTAAAAAGTAAACCATTATTTTGGCATTCAATTGAAGACTTTATTTTCCATAGTCAGAATTATCTGATTTATGTCAAATATGCCTCGTTTTGCTCGATAACTTTTTGCTTATTTGAAGGTAATGTTATTATGTCTCTCCAATAGAAATCCTTGTTCTTATTGGCAAAAAAATTGCCACTATCGATTTCGATTGGCTCCTCTAGAGGCCAATTTTTCACCAGCCAAATCACGCGCATAGACCAGCGCAGATGGTAATCACTTGGTGCGAGATTTGGTATATAAAGTTAATGCCTAAGAACCAACCAACCAAGCTTTCGGAGCTTCCAGCGTGTCACAATCGATAAGTGTGGTCCGGTGTTCTACAGATAAAACACAATTTCCCTTCTGTTGGCCACACTGGACGCTTCTGGGCGATTGATTTCCTCAGACGTTCCAATTGTTGACAGTGCAGGTCCGAGTTAAAAGTTTGGTCCTTAAGAGAGCAGCTTAAAGTCCATAATTTTTTGCCAACCCCATTAAACATACAACAAAACCTTACTGGCCGTCAATACTGGCTTTGATACCATTTGTGCCAACTCACTGCACTTCGTCCACGACCGTTTTCGTTTGACGTTGCTTTCAAGTGATCCACTTTTCATCACCAGCCAATATCCGCTTTAGAAATGGATCGATTTTAGTACGATGCAGCAGCGATTCACAAATTGAAATTCGGTTAATGCTGTTGTCTTTCGTTGGGACAGGTTTCTCGGTGTATCCACCATTCTTCAAGTGATTCCAAAGAGTTTATTGGGTAATCGAAACAGTGCTCGTCTGATGGCCAGACTTGACGATTTCCATTATTTTATCGACATTTGCGACTATTGGCCTTCGACAACGTGGAGCTCCTTTTACATCAAAATTTCTGGAACGAAGTCGACGAAGCTATTTACTTAAGTATATGAGTCCTTATATGAACAATTTAATGTAAATAAGTCAGATTTTTGCTACCGGATTCAGAATTTTGGTTTTGTTTTATAATTAAACTAGCAGACCCGGCCACAAAGTCAAACATTCGGCGATTCCTTTCCCGTGAAGGAAGTATTATTTACTTTTCGAGAGAATAGAACTTGGTTCCAGGTGTCTGCTTCCAAGAAACGAATCTATTTAGGCATATTATCCGAAAATTTAGCTAAAACGAACCACGAATATGCACTTTTTACCTTCAAAACGACCCACTTCTCCAAGACAATGTACACAACATTTGGTGACTCGCCAAAAACTGAGAGATCTTGCCTGGAAACTGTTGTTACATCCACTATATAACCTTGAACTTGCAACGTCAGTGTATTCTCTTTCTTTTAAAACGTCACTGGTATCTTCTCGGGCAACTCAATATGTTTCATTTTGTTAGTGATATTCAGAAACCATTTTGATTTGAACCCTGGTCTATCGAAACGGTTTTAAAATCCTTTATCTCTTTCACTAACAAAAACAAAACCTTGAGTGTGAAACTTTTCTCTGACTGCACCAATCAAATCCTTTTAAATAAAGGGTAGGTAATGGATTTACATGAAAGTGATAATTTTTAAAAGATTATGAATTACTCACTTATTTGTGTGCACTAATTATTAATATACAATTTTTAAGTTTTATTTTTGTATTATTATACGTTGGTTTTTGAAAACCTTCACTCGGCCCAGATACTAGGAGGTGCCCTTTAATTTGCACACTTCCATAGTAGCAAAGTGAAAAATCATGTAACAAAAAAGGAAAATTATTAACGTTTCATATCAATACAAAAGCTTTACTTATCCAATAAACAATATCATTCTAACAATGGGACCTTCTAATTTGCATATGAAGCCTGTTTCTCTATAGCATAAAATGAAAGCTTCTACATTCCTACGTAGATATGTACTGTTGAGTGCATTATAAACAAGATCTGTATACAAAACAGAACAAAATATAATAAAGAATGAAAAAAACAAAAACAAAAACAAAACGAGCAACAAAATGCAGTGCAACGTACATACATAACTTGATTTGTCGCTAATTAGTGCAATAGCATCTAATGAACAAATTCAGTTCACGAATGCCCGATGAATCCAGCATGCGAGATCACAAAAAGTTAGCCTAACAAACGGGCCTTAAACGTAGCTACATAAATATGTAGGTGGATATGCAAATGACAGTGCATTATAGTATATATTCACACATATTAGTATTAACGCCAAATATTTGTATGCCATGACAGTAGTAACTACAGAGCTTAACGGTTACACTCTCGTACTTACCCCATAATGATATTGGCCGAATATGATGTAAAACTTAAGTTGAAAAATACTCAAATCAAATAACAAAACATTTTTCTTTTCAATTCAAAACCAATACAGTTAATGAACAAATGCGTTAGTTTACTTCATCTTTATTGCTTTTGAAATTTTGTGGCTTAAAATGTCTTAAAGTAAAAATTTGAATTGTATTTTTTAAATAAATATATTTTCGTTTAATTCAATTTTCGGTGAACTGTCACATATTTACCGAACTTTTATTTTGACGTTTTTCTCTCGGTATTCATAAAACGAACAGTTCCAATAATTTCCACTGCGCTATCGACGAGTAGCGAATTGTTTACATTTATAAGCCATTTTACATTAAGTTAGTATTTATGCTATAGTAATTAAAATTATCAAGTTTTCTGTTATCAGAAATATGTATGTATTATATTATAAAAATGTATTGACAAATTAAGTAAATTAAAAAATTTGGTAGAAAGAACTTAATTCAGCGCAGCTCCGAACCATATTGCAGTTTAAAATTTTACAGCAGATGTCGCTCATATGGCACCAACAACAGGTATTCACATGTGCAAAACCATTGTGAATTCACAAAATTTATAAAGCTTCAATAACGCTGTCAAACTTATTATTATAAATAAAAGTAAATTCTTATTATATTGTTAAGACTCTCTACAACAGTAAAGCACATAATTTTATTAAATACATAATGTCCTCCCACGCATCAACAAAAATAGACCAAAAGGAATATCTAAAAAGGTACTTGTCTGGCGATAAAGTTAAAAAGAAAAAGAAAGACAAGAAGCGGAAAAAAGAAGTTGGCGGAACTAAAGTGAGAATTATTGACGATGATGCCGCATGTAATCAGACACAAGAAGAATTCGACGAGGAACTTATTTTAGGTGGCGAGGATGCGCCACAAATTGTTGGTGAATATATAGAAGAGCAAAGCATTAATGCCAAAGCGCCTAAGTGGCGCAGCATTGTTATTAAAGATGAACCAGATCAGGAAAGTGAGATGGGAGTGGAGCGCAATGCAAACGAAGATTTGTGGGGACCCAAGCAAATAAAGCGTGAGATCAAAGATGAATTCTCACCGCCGCGTCGACATACAAGCAAAAGGCAAAATTCGAATACTCCTGATAACTCGCAACAGAGACAAAAATCTTATAAAAACCAGAAGTCACTAAAGAGTGATTCACCGATAAGAAACACAGAGCACACACATTCTCGTAGTGAAGGTAAGGAAAGACATCAATCACCTGATCAGAGCCCGCAGAGAAGAAAAACCACATCCATTTATAAGCAATTAAACGTGGAAAAGCTTTCTTCAATTGATCGAAGTCCACCTAGAAGAAGGGAACAACCATTAGATAACAGTCCACCAAGAAGGCGTAACTATTCGCCTGACCAAAGCCCTCCAAGAAAAAGTAAAGCATACACATATGACGACAGTCCTTCAAGAGGCTATCAGAATAATAATACGCATAAGACAAGAAAAAATTCTGAACACAGTCCAATCAGAAAAACCAACTATTCATCCAATTCACGTTACAGTATGGATAGAAGTCGTTCGCCCGCAAAACCCAGCTCTAATAAAAGAGAGCACTCATCTGACCGTAAAACCCATAAATCTAATCATAAACGTAATGGAAAGTCATCTAGCAGCGATCAAAGTCCTCCGAGGAAGTTCAAACATACAAAAAGTAAAAGAAAAAGTCGTAGTGTTAGCAGCGACCAAAGTCCTCCACGACGCCGAAATCGTGACCTAACTAGTTCCGATCAAAGCCCACCAAGAAAATTGAAAAATAAATCAAACACAAATCGTAGAAAAAGTCGAAGTCGTAGCGTCGATCAGAGCCCACAACGTCGAATAAAACGTGAACCATCATCTGATCAGTCTCCACCAAGGCGTAGAATCATAGAAACAAATCGCAAAAGAAGCGTATCACCAAGACAAAATAATTACAGAAAATCTCGTGACCAATCACCACCAAGGCGCTATAACGGTAATAGTCAAAGCAGTAATTCGCCTACACGTATAAAACGCGAAAAAAATTCACCAAATCTATCTCCGCCACGAGTTAGTCATCGTAACATAAAAAAGGAATATTCATCCTCACCACCACCTACGCACAGCCGCTGGTCCAAAAATGAGCAAAGAAGAAGCGATTCGCCACCGCCAACTCACAAGCCAAAAGCAACCAAAACACTAGATGGCAAAAAAGCTGGTCTGCAGAATGCCAAATCGTTGGTAGAAGAAACCGAAGAGCGCCGACGGAAAGAAGATCGAATGTATAAAGATATGTCCAAGGAAATATCGGGTCGCGATGCTGAGGTGAGAGTGCGTAGCACAGGCCGAAAAGGACAACGTGCACGTGATGCCGAAGCAGAGGACCCTGAAGTGCGAAAACGTAAGGAGGAACATGAGCGCAAGAAAAAGGAAAAATACGATCGTTGGGGCAAGGGTTTGAAACAAGTTGAGGAATATCGACAGCGCACGGAAGCCGAATCATATGAAGGCAGTAAGCCGTTAGCACGCTATGAAAATGATGAAGATTTGGATAAGTATTTGCGTGAGCAAGAAAGAGCTGAAGATCCAATGTTAGAATATATGCGGAAAAAGAAAAAAGAACGCCAGAAAGAGCAGGGGGCACTTGCGGAGATGCCCAAATATGAAGGTTCATATCCGGAGAATCGATTTAGTATACGCCCCGGCTACAGATGGGACGGTGTGGACAGATCCAATGGGTTTGAGAAGAAGTGGTTTGATGTGCAAAATGAAAAACGAGCACGACAAGAAGAGGCGTATCTTTACAGTGTGGAAGACATGTAGAAGTTAGTGTTTCTCAAGAAATTTATTTGTAATATTATCAATGACATATGTAAACATAAAGTATTCTCTATTTTGCAGATTTTTTGTTTATAAGCATCATGGAGAAAATCTACAAAACGTCATTCCAATTGCTATTTGTAATTCAACGAATTCATACATACTTTGTTTATAAATAAAATATGGAGAAAGATCGGTTAATTTTAGGTCTATAAAATGAAAATTTCTTTAAAATGGGTGCATTTGTGCATTTCAATACATGTAATAATGGGTTAATATTTTTCTTAACAGTTGATAATGCGGATGACACCCCCGCGTATGAAAATGTCCTTCGCTAAATGTGCCTCGATAATTTCCCAAATCCTTCGGTCACTGGATTGATAAATAAAAGTGAAAAATTCGTATTACATTTTCTTATTTCTAAAGAACATTGTCAACGATTATTTATTTATTATTCATGAAATAACAATTCGTTTTCTATACGTGTCGATTAATATTACTACTATAACACCACTATTTTCAAGCAGTTCGCTTTCTTGTTTATAAATTTACTTTCTTATAAATCCATAGTTTACTACGATTAAGCGCTAAATTCAACTGAACTTATCAGCAGTGAGCTCTTCACTCCTATATAGCTGCAGACTGCCGGTATCCATGTTCTAAAATGTTCCCGATAACGAATATTCGGTACTGACGCTATATCTAGAAAATGCTGTAATGGTCGACCTTATTCTCCCTCACTTCACATTCGTATTCAGCATTTTGGCAATATTTTGAAAAACTTTAGTTCAAAAATAGAAAAACCAACGCTGTTTGAGGCCAATGAACTATGATAATGAAGAAAATTTGTTATAGTAAAAGTACAATATATTCAATAAACATTAACTTAAAAATTTTCTCTAATATCCTAAAAGAAAAGAAAATCTCCTGTTGAAGAAAAGTTTTGCATGTACGAGGGGATTAACGGAAATTCAGTAATTTTTTGTATTTTTTCGTAATCTTTGTACCTTTTTATATTCTCTACATTCTCTACTCACTTCTGAAAACAGTCTTCAAAATCTTGCTTTCTCAGCTATTGAAGACCTTTCCCTTTATATATTTTTTTAATAATACAATATGATGCTGAAGGTATTTCTTCGACCCCAGACCCCCAGGGACTGCATTAAAATTACTCGGTATTTCAGTAGTGTGGGATGCGCGTTGTCATGATTTAAAACGTAGCGACCCAAATCCTCTTTTTTTCACATCTCCCAACAAACTTTTGAAAACTTTTGGTAAGAACACTTTAGTGTACCATTTTGCGGTTACCGCTGATCCGATCCAGTGGCATCCATCGAGCAGATTTCTTCGTATATCCCAGATTATTTGTGAATATTCACGATACAGCCATGGCATTCAACCTCAATTCTTGCGCCTTTCGTGGGTCTTCGTCAATTTTGGACTTCACCAGAGCTACAAGGACGTCTTCAGTCTTCTTCTCGGAGCTCATCCTCTACGTAAAAATGTCCGGTCTGTTATCTTCGCACCAGTCTTTAAAGACACTGCAATCGATCCACATGCAATTTGGCATTCACTGAATAATTGTATTGACTGTAAATTACGCCGAAGTCCGTTGATGGTGGAATTTCATCTGACCAATTCTCAGCTATATTGTGTTTTCTCTTCTCCATTTTAGCCGTTCGTTCTAAAATTTGAAAGGAAGGCATTTTAAGATTTAACAAACATAAATTGCAAGCAACCAACTGACCGAACTTTTGTTCCCCCGTACAACACATATTTGTCTCAACTATTGAAATTATTTCACAGCATTGAATGCAACTCTGCGAATTTCATGGGTAGGAGATTGTTGTTATCGATAATAGCAAATTGGCGCTGAAACGCAGAGAACCAAAATAAACAGAAAGATAAAGCAGCATTTAAAACGTAATTGCTAATAGGACTAACAACAACAGTTGGTTATTTTTTGTTTTTTTTTTGTGATATTTTGCCATTCGGTTTGTATCTGCAAGTACAGTATTGAAATATCGTGCTAAAATAATTGTATTTCAAAAATTAACATTTTGTGGAAAATAAATTTAAGTCAACATTGCTTTCATTTGGTAAGTAGAGTTGAAATAATATTGAAATTGGCATATGAGTGTGAAAAAATGTAATTTTGGATTGAATTTTTGGATTGGAAGTGATGGCATGTTGTGTTGATGATTTCATTGGTTTGTGTGATGGTTGCTTGTCGCAGGTAGCTATATTTGTTTATATACACTGTACCAAATGCTTGGTTGGAATGCACAAATATACATAGATATAAACGTGTGAACAAGCAATAGAATACTCCAAGCAACTTAATGGACCCATAAGTATGTAAAGACGTTTTTAGTCTTTAATTTAAAGCTTTGAAAGAAAAGAAAAGTTCTACCAAAATAACACTCGATGCGTACATACTTATGTAGCTTCAAATGCAAGATTTGCGAAGGAATTCTCTATTTCATTTTATGATGGTTTCAAAGTCAAAATTATGGCTTTGTCCAGTTGAAATTCCCTTAGCAATAAAATTCAGACTATTGAGCCAGATTAGATTGTACCATTGCACACAAAACCCTGAAATACCTAAAGTGTGTCCCATAAGAAATGGTCATCATCCACTGCTTGTCAAAACAGTTCGTTTCCTAGAGGTCAAGCTTACTTAGTGTAATATGGTGAATTCATCGGTCCTAGAAGTGAACTGCAACTACAAAAAAAGCCAAATATGTATGTTCCTCATCAATTTGGAATAAACTTAATACATGTATTAGCTTAACATAAATACATTCGACATATTTGGTACATTGGTGATACAAATGGAAACAATCGTATGTTTTTCAGAACTATTGCTCTTCATTATTTGTATTTTACTATAAAATATTACAAATTTGTGTACCTGGCTGCCGCAGTAGCCGAGTGATGAACGTTGCGTACTAGTTTTCAGATGGCCAGGGCTCCATTCCTGTTCGCCGCAACATAAAAATCCATCGGCTGTTCCAAGGCGGCTTAGGACAAACTGTAGGCGCCTACATTTGTTGGAAAATATAAAGAAGCACATTACAAATTGGAGGAAGAGCTCAGCCGAAACTCGCTTCAGCGTTTACAAAGCGTCAATTATGTGACAAAAAAAACTTTCTAGCATTATAGATAAAACAATGCATGGCTTGTAAAGTGATGATCAGTAATTTTGTTTCTGGTAGTCATGTATAGTTATGTTTAAAAGAGAACATTAAAAAAAAAAAGAAATAAACTATTAAAAAAGGTTGTAAAGGCGCTGAATGTAGGAGGAGGAGGAAAAGATAATTGTGAGACCCAAGTAATATAATATATACCAAAGCTTTTGTCAGACACATTAATTTTGAATTCCTGCTTTACTATTTTGGTGCCACTGATCCTGCTGATTAACTGTGCAGTATTATATATTGAGGCTGCTCGAACTCGTTTTCTGCTATGGGTGGTGGTATTTCTCTGAGTACGCCATTCACTGGAAGGGAGTCCATGAAGGTGTTGACTGACTCCTGGTGAATAGCGTTCACTGCTTGTCGATACGCCGTCCTGTCCAGCGGTTGTTGTGTGTGTTGCTGGATTGTGTCCTTAAAGTCTAGTTCTCCCTTTCTGATGTGCCTAGATGGGGGTTCAGCCTCTATTAGGTGCTCCCTGCGGTAGCATCCCAATAGAAACTGCTTGCACAGCAAAGCATTATGCTCCTTAACTCGTAGCATAGATGCTTCCCTGTGCAAGTGATGCTCCGGCGACATCAGGAGGTTTCCTTTCGCAGTCCTGAGGGCGGTGTTTTGGCAAGTCTGTAGCTTCTTCATCTGCGTCTCGTTCGTCCCCGGCGTCCAGATCGGTGCAGCATAGTTTACGGCCGGCCGGCCAATTGCTTTGTAAGTAGCCAGCAAAGTTTCTTTATCTTTACCCCAGGTGCTGCCGGCTAGCGCTTTGAGTATTTTGTTGCGGCTCTGGAGTTTTGCGGCAATTGCGGTCGTATGCGGAGTGAAGGAGTGCAGGCTGTCTAGAGTTACTCCCAATATTTTTGGATTATTTGTCGTCGGAATTTTTGTGTCATCGACCTTAACATCCAGTTCAAGCCTGTATTCCTTCGTCCAGCTGGTGAAAAGGGTAGCCGAGGATTTTGTCGGTTACCTGTAGACCTAAACGGGGTTAGGTCGCCGAAAGGGTGACAGCCCTTGGCCGGATAAAATCCGGGTCAACTCCGGTGCGTAGAACCGGCTGTCGTGAGAGTCGCATACATATATGTGATAGCTGCCCCTTGAAAATTAGTTTAAAAACCATTAATTTGTCAGCTTAGCATGCAGTGACCATGTATGCTCTAACCAACTTTGAACATATTTCGTCTTGGAGACGCCAAATGCTGGCTATCATAAGGACAAAAATTGTATTTTCCTGTATGAGCTCATTATATCCCAATCTCCAAGCTATCTTTATAACATGCTTTCTTTTACTAGGTCCACAAGTGTGTCTAATATTTTAATATTTTTACGAGTTTTAAAGCCATACTTACATAGAATGACCATTTATTTATTTATTTAATATTTATTTTTGGAAGTTATTCTTTCTTTTGCCCCAAGGGAGCGCAATTTTGACATCTCGGTGCTGGTTAATTCTTACTGACATCTCTCACCGAACAGAGTTAATAGTTTAATATGTTACCTGTTTACTGAAACGGGGTTAGATACCCTTCAAATCTATCGGATCCTACCGAGGTCCGCAACTTGTCTTCGACCACTCCAAAAATACTTCCGATATGTGGAAAATGGTTAGGGTGGTCTCGCTACACAATCCGGGAAAAACCGCCGAAAAAGCAGAGTCCTATCGGACAATATCGCTCCTCTCCCCAGTAGCGAAGACTTTCTCACAACATCTGAGTCCAGCAGCACATAAGTATGGCTTCCCAATAGTGCAGAGTACCACAACAGCACTTAATGCCATAAAGACTAAATAGTAGTTAATGATCTAAACCAAAACCGGAGCTGTGGGCAAGCTGTACCAGTAGCGCTGGATGTGACCAAAGCTTTTGCGTCAATCATTCAGTGTTATATTGAGGAATAATCATTGACGTCGGGGTTGAAGAGGTGCTTCGGGGGCTACTTGAGTGGTCCTCAAACAAAGGTAGTATCTCGAGGTCAAACATCGAATATCATAGATACTAGACAAGAGGTTCCGCAGGGTGGTGT